AAGTGGATTACTTAATATTCCTAATAATGATACTTTGAATTAGCCTTTTAATGACTTAGCTGACTAAGCCAATGATTTAGCTAATAACTCAGTTAAGTTGTTTATAATTCTGCAATTGCAGAAATTCTGTGATGAATTTGCTAACTTTACCAAATTCACCAGATTTGTAGAAATTCACAAAATTTGAAGTGTAGCTTATTGTTGTCCAGCACCAGCCAAATCAGCAACAAAATCCATACAATTACATATGAAAGTAACTATAGATTCTTTTACAGCAAATTGGAATTTAGAAACAATCTAATGAAATTGAGAATTTATTTGCAAGGGTGTAATTTTAAATTATTGATATATATCTAAATTTATCATAACAATCAAAATTTGATTAATCATATTTATTACAACAATTAAAATTTGATTAATCATTGATATTTACAAATCAAAAATCATCTCTTAAGCTCTTATTTTGTGTAAAAGAACCCTTATAAACACCTTAGTCAATTAACAGTACTAATTATTTATAGACATGTATAGATAGGTGTCATAGATATGTCGTAAGAGGAAAGTATATTTTTTTGTATTCTTATATAATAATCTCTATTTTTTCTATTTTTTTCTAAATTTTTTTTACTTCAAAAATGCCACAAAGACAATACCACAAAAGCAATCCAAGAAATTCTTACATTCTAAGAATGCAAAATAAAAAATGTCAAGAACTTCTTGAATTAACCAAAGAATATAGAAGGCGAGTTAATGCACAAGCTTGGGAATCTGAATTGGAAAAATCTAAATTAAATAATATCAAAATAGAAAAATCTGAATTAAATAATGTTAAAATAGAAAAATCTGAATTAAATAATGTCAAAATAGAAAATGACGATAATATAAAAATAGAAAAGAGAGAAACACCTGGGTTGGGTTAATGGTAAGTAAAATCTTGGTTTTTGGAATCATAACTTGTTATATTTTCTTTAGTCCAGTTAATAAATTCTTGCTTTTTCTTATTAGCGCCTCTTGTATATTGTCACATTTTACTATAATGGTTGTTTTTTTTTTTTAATAAATTATAACCCATGTTTGGTTATATTTAGAGATGAATTTTTTTTTGATTTTTGTATAGATATACTGTATATTCAATAAACAAGTTTGCTATACTATAAGTTATCAAAGGTAATTATATAATAAAAACGAAATCATTTAAATTCAAAGCTGTTTATATGTTATTAAGAAAGTCAAATTTATGTTCAAAACTGTTTTAGTGAAGATCACAAGAACAGTTTTTAGCATAAATTTTTGATCGTATATATTTGAATAAGGCAAAAAAAAATTTGAAAGAGTTGACATTGCGAATGTTAATCGATTTTTATACTGATCACGCACTAATCATACCGAAATCAATAACTTACCGAATTCTGCAAACTTTTTAGGGTGTCTCAAAATTTATGAAAACAGCTGTAATAATTTTGATGCTGAATTCAATAACTTAACCGAATTGGCTAAATGTTCACAGATTTTTGATTATTGTTATACCATATCAATATATGTTAAATTAGCAATGTAAAGCGATTGTAAAAGCATTAAAAGAGCTAAATGAGCCCAATTTGGATAAGCTATCGAAACTATCACGCGTTTGACAGGTCACGTGAGTTTGTAACAAGAGTGAGCGAAAAAGGATTCAGCGTTCAAACTACCTTAATAACCCGCAATAAAACTCGACATATAACATTTTAAAAGTGTCTTTTTCCGATTACAATGCAAAATTTTCCATCACAAAAGCGGATTTATAACAACTACCCGGTTTCCTTCACGCGAACATATATAAAATAACAAAGAAAAAGTTTCTTTTAATGCAACATTTAAAAATGTTTAATTAATAAAAAATTTTCATCTGTAATTTTCTTTTTTGATGCTATTTCTACCGCTTTTCATAAAAATTGTCAAAAAAATTTAGTTAATACGCGAGGTGAATCAATTTTTGTGTCCTAATAATTTAAGAGTAAATTTCTTTAACGATTCGCCGATCATAAAATCTGTTATTAGTGTAATTGTTATTGTATCTCACATGATTTTGATTATTTAGGATATGAAATACCCCATACGTACATGTATAGTTTTCTCATGATCTGTCGGGGCGACACTTGGTTGCATGTATAGTTTTCTCGTGACCTGTCGGGACAACTGCCAAGCGCGAATGGTGTAAAAAAAAAAAGTGTGTGAAGGGAAAGAAAAGAAGAGAGAGAAATTCGATCCTAACAAGCTGCGCAGGTTGCTCGATAAGCAGGAGAATAACCCATTTGTGTTTTCGTAGTAAAAGACCCAGAAATGAGAGACAAAACAATAATATCTTTTTATTTTTAACATGCATAAGATTTTACATTGACAATGTCAAATTAAACATATCAAAATCTTTTAAAGACACTACGAATAAAGCTATTAATAAAGTTCTAGATAAATAAGTTGACAAATTATGGAATTAATACAAGCTATAAAACTGGATCGATATCTTATTATACATGAAAAAACAATTAAATCTAACGACTATTTTCAAGATCTTTTGCTTAATTATAATGATTATAATTTTAATCAAATTACTAGAGTTAGTAAAGAGACGTTCTGGTACATAGAAAGTTTAATCCGCAATAACCCTTTTTTTTTTTAAATAATTCTAAACGTAAACATTTACAAAGACCAGTTTGGCAGTTAACTTTAGAATTCTTAGTATTAGGTCGTAATGGAAATGGTGTTTCTGTAGGATGATTTGCTAGACAGTAGGCTTAGAAATTGGCACTGTGGTTGAGTATACAAAACAAATAGCTGTGCTGCCGACAATCGTTTCACCGAAAGTTCACTTAGCCGGCATCACATAGGGTTAGGATTAGCGTTTTATTAGTTGCAGGATATATTTTTAGTAAATTGTCACTTGGCGTGATATCGGCTAAGTGAGTTGTTGGTGAAATGATTGTCGAAGGCAAATAGTAATAGCTATTAATTCAATTGAAGATGTTTATGTACGATATAGTGACCTGATTCTATTGAGCGACAGCAAATTAGTAGTAGGATAGAGCAATTATCTAGATTTAAAGGCTGTGTTGGATTTCTTGTACTTGAATATACAAACCACTAAAAAGATGGTGAAATTTATTATAAGCAAAGGTTCAATTATATAAGAAATAATTTAAGTGAAAGTTCAATAAGTTATATAAAAAAAAATTTATAAAAAAAAAAAGTTGAGCAAAGGTTCAATAAGTTGTATAAAAAAAAAATAATTTGAGCGAAGGCTTAATAAGTAATTTGAGCAAAGGCTCAGTAAGTAATTTGGGTAAAGGCTCAGTAAGATATAAAAAAAATAATTTGTGCGAAGGTTCAATAAGTAATTTAAGTGAAGGTTCAGTAAATTATAGAAAAAATAATTTGAGTGAAAGTTTAATAAGTAATATGAGTGAAGGTTAAATAAATAATTTGAGCGAAGATTCAGTAAATAAGTAATTTGAGCGAAGGTTTAATAAGTTATATAAAAAAATGATTTGATTGAGGGTTTAATAAATGATTTGAGCACAGGTTTAATAAATAATTTGAGTGAAGGTTTAATAAATAATTTAAGTGAAGGTTTATTAAGTAACTTGAGCGAAGATTTAATAAGTAATTTGAGCAAAGGTTTAATAAGTAATTTGAGCGAAGGTTTAATAAGTAATTTGAGCGAAGATTAATAAGTAATTTGAGCGAAGGTTCAGTAAACAATTTGAATAAATGTTTAGTGAGCAAAGGTTTAATAAGTAATTTGAACGAATATTCAGTAAGTAATTTGAGCGAAAGTTTTATTATTACTCTGAATTGTTATCATTAAATAAAAAATTTTTTACTTATTTCGTCAAATGGGAGTCCTTAAACACTCCCATTTCATTTTCCGATTTCAAAATTTTGATACACAAATAAGATTTTTTAACCTCTTATTTGTTTCTGAAATACGCTATTTTTTTTTAATTCTGAAACCCCTTAATGTTAAAAATAAATAAATAAAATTTACATAGGTATAACTGATTTTTTTTTTGCAAATCAAAGTGTGTGCTACTACTAAAGATGGCATATGATTTAAATAACCATTTTATAATCACCGATGTTAAATTCAATTTAAAGCTGTTTTAAATCCTTTATTCGATTTAGTTGAATCGACGGTCTGCATAATTTTTTTTTTTTAGCCCGTGAGTCCGTGAATACATTAGAGATAACCACTTTATATTCGTCGTATTTCGTGGAAATTCTTTATCATTAAAAGGGAAATATATGAATTCTAAAATGAGTTCTGTGAAGTATGACGTGACGCTGAAGTGATTCCTTTATTGTGGTGAAAAAAATTATGCTGATCGTCGATCTACAGTAACTAAATCGAAAACAGCTGTAATGTATTGAGAAAACAAATGCAGTACATTCTTTAAATCACATGCATTAACGTTAAAAATCAGCATTTGAGTGTATGTTTTCCAAATCCAAATCCCTCCATACATTGTTGGGTAAAAGTGCATTTATCGTTATTGAATGTTTATTTATATAGGGAAAGTGCATCTGATCTGAAGTGCAGATAGTGTAACGTGATGTAGAATAAGGCTGTGTAAACTGCTAATTTAGAATCTATCGTACCTTCAAAACTTCTGATTTTAAAAATGTCCAAAGCCATAATCTATAAATATTGTGTTAATTCTTTCAAACTTTTCCTCATCCTCTACTTATTTTACTACTTAACATACTACCTTCAACCCTTAGAATCCACAGTCTCACAATTGCATATCATAAATGATACCAATATAAAATTCCCTCCAGGTGTGGATCAGAACTTAAAGATCTTCGTCGGGATTCTGACTATTTATGAGAAGATCGAGATTAGGGAATGCTTGCGCAAGTTGTATACACATAATAACGACGCACTGACGCGGTATCTTGGAGTCAAGAAATCGCCCGTGACGATTAAGTTTATCCTGGGATTGCCAAATGATGAATATATAGATAAGATGGAAGAAGAATCCAAAATGTACGGGGATATTGTTATTTTGAATATCACAGAGAACATGAATCAAGGAAAGACGTTTGAATATTTCAATTGGTTTGCTAAGCATGTGAGTACTCTTATCTTGTTATTAGTGATTTTGGCCGATAGTGAAAAAAATCGGCTAAAGAAAATTATCCGATTTTTTTAAAACCGGCTGATCGATTTGGTATGGTCAGAATATGCCATTACGAAAATTTTCGATATAGAAAATGAATGAACCTAAAATACGAGTAAAAATTGAACCAAAAATTTTCGTAAATTCCGGATTATAGAACAAAATTAAATAGTACTTTAAATCGACCAAGCCGACAAAGCCGATAAATTTATCGGCTTGGTCATAGCCGAAAAATTATGCTCGGCCAGAATCACTACTTGTTATGAGATTACGCACGTCAATAAGCATTCATTAGTTTGAGTACGCTTAGAGGGAGGATAATTATTTGCTCAAATTGGACGATGACACCTTCCTCCACCTTATTCACTATTACCGTGACCTTCAAGACTTACCGAGAGAACGTGCGTACTATGGCAATGCTTTAGGGTATGAACATGAAACATACGCGTATATGGGAGGTATGTTATTTATTCCCTTTTATAATCAATGCCTTACGCACTTTTTGATCTTTACTTACACTCGAAATTAGGTGCAGGATACACACTCTCCCGCGACCTTGTTATAGACATTGTCAGATCAAACTGGGTTAATTCAAACGTCGAAGGCAATGAGGACTGGCTAGTAGGTGAGTGGGTGTGCCACGTAGCTAGGGAGATGAAATATTTTGTGCATTATGTCGGCTTTACAAGTTGGGTACCCAGCCGCCAAAATCCCATTCATGACTTTGATGAGAATCTGGATCTCCATTTCCTTAGCGAGACCATCATGATCCATCAAGTAAAGAATATTGAAAAGTTGAAAGCCATTAAGGATGTGTATTCTGAATACGAAGAGGGATTTCCAATAGTCAGAGTCATTCGGAATTCAACGGTCGAAGGCCTGGCTACAAAGAGGGAGGTTATTCCAAGATGCTGGACCGCGCTTGAAATAGAACAGATCTGGGATCAATTGCAAAGTACCTACAAGAACTGGTTTTATGAAGTTTGGGGTTTTAAGGAGGGGAATGATAAGGGTGTTATGGGCCTATAAATAATATAGGGATTGGATAAAAATTTTTTTATTACAGTTAGACATCTATAAGTGCATACCCTATAAATGCAAGAGGTTTGACCGTTGTGATGGGCAAACCCGGCTTAGCACTGTCCTAGATTAGGCTGTGCTATTTCTATTTTTATTTTTTTTTATTTCATTATTTCTATTTTCGGCAAAAATTGCCATTTGGAGTTAGTAGAAGGTGGGACGAGGATAAAAAAGATAAAAAAGGTAAATTAGATAAAAAAGATAGAAAAGATAAAAAGGATATAATAGATAAAATAGATTTAATTTTATCTTTTCTTAGCTTGTAAAATTTATCTATATAAGAGCTCTTCGCTCACCTTTCAATAAAAAAGAACTCTACGGAGTTTTAAAAGTCTTAACTTCGAAATCCTTATCGTAGAAGTTGTTCCTTAATATATTGTCATCTCTGACCCAAATCGTTCCGAATAACTCCAATTTCTGTCCCAATAATAGTATAGAATTACTATCGCTTATAAGAAACCTGAGACAAGTAAAAGAACCCAACTCATATTAACTTGCTCTTATATAAATACTTAACCTTCCCGTGAGGTATTGTTATCACTAATTTGTATAACAATCGAATTAGTGATCCTGCATTATTACAAATTAATTGCTTCGATCAGCCAAATTACCCGTGACATTAGTCATAAATTGAAGATCTGCTTCCAATATCTCTTACTCGTGACGCCATCAAGATCATCGTTAAGAATCTTAACGATCTAAGGTTGAATATTAAACTTCCGATCACCGCAGTTATCCAAGTGACATAACACATGACATCGTTAAGAATCTTAACGATCATAGTATCTTAGAGTTAGAGAAATAGAAGAATTAGTGTCAAATAAATCCTGATACAATAAAGCAACTAAAGGGAACATAAGCAAAGAAGACTTATCTGCATCCGGAGACATTATTCCAAGACCTGAAAGATCTTGATACTCGGACCAAGTCTTTCCACGCCTCTATTTGAAGCCTACCACTCAAGGTTTTAGAGTCTTGAGGTTGCAGGATATATTATTTGGAGTGTTTAGACTAGTGAATTTAGTCAGTTTTAAAATAGAATGTTTAGTTACCATTCTCACACCATATATAATTTATTACATACTCTAATAATTTGTTTTTTATTACGTAATTAAAGACAGGTGATGATTATCTGATATAAAATTAGGTGTATCAACTCATTTGATTTATAAGTAAAAACATTCTAAGCCCTCATATATGGACATGTCCTGTGACTGTTGTATAAAATATATTTATTAAATTAACTATTAGATCAGCCATTATATCAACTATTATATTAACTGTTATATTGTATAATATCTATTATATCAACTATAAATTATTTCTAAATCGATTTTAAATCAATTTTAAATTATTTCTAAATCGCTCTATTTCATATTTCAAAAATATAGTTAGTAAAATTTAACTTATAAAAATAATAGCAAATTTATTAAATATAACTTAGTTTTGAACAATATAAAAGTTGGTTAACTTATCTTTTTATTCTGTTTTTTGTATAAATATTGTTTAAGGTCATTTTAGCATGACAGAAGTTCGATTTATGCATCTACGTTACACAAGATTTTATATGTCAAAATTATTATTAGCGATATAGAAAAGTATATACGTCATATAGTAACACATAAAAAACAACGTCCAAATTTTTAAAGACTTGATTAGTTCATTTTTTAGGTGTCCTGCATTCGATTTGTGAAAAGAGATCTTTAAAGATCTCTAATGTTAAAGATTTTTATAAGGCACAAGTTTTTATAATTAATATTAATATATATGCATAATTAATTATTATTATTATTTTTTTTTAATAGTACTGATTCGAAAAAAGGTTTCAGCAGCAAAATTAAAAGTTTATTAGCAATTTATAAGTACCTTTACCAATACTTTATTTGCTCTATTTGTTCAACTAGCTTAGACATAACATCAGGTATTTCTTCTACATTTTCAGAGTTTTCTTTCATATCTTCTTCATTTTCGTTATTATCAAGATCTTCTTGTGTAAGTGAATTTGCTCCCTTTTCAATTCGTTTTAAAAATGAATTGATATTTTTGACAATTCCTCTTTTATAAAACTCTTCACAGTAACTACACCTCCCATTGTAACAAATTGTATGATAGCCATGACCGCAAACAAACACTACACCATTATCATTGATAAACGGAAGTTTACAAAGATCGCATAATTCAGGATGTGCACCTCTTCATCTAGAGTCGCCAGTTTGTATATTTGGGGTGATTTTTTTTTTTTTGTAGTAGCAGTGTTCTTGGTGATGCACCTGGTGGTGCTTTTGGTGGTGCTTTTGGTGCCGCTCTTGGTGTCGCTCTTGGTGCCACTCTTGGTGGTGCTCTTGGTGGTGCCCTTGGTGGTATGTTTGGTGGTGTGTTCAGTGGTGATGCCTATAGTAGTGGTGCTCCTGGTAGTCTCAATGGTGGTGTTTTCAATACTGGTGTTCTTGGTAGTATTAAGTTTTGAAAAACTTTTTCTGCGATTATAAAAAATGTTTTGAAAGTATTGCAATAAAAAAAGACTGGTCTTATTAGATAAAAAATCGAGCATTTTAACATTATATGGGTAGTGTCGAGCTTTACAGTATGTATTCTTAAGATTGAGATCATGATTCATTACAACGTAGGCTTGTTTGATAATATTATCATCAGTTGCATTTGGTGATGTATTTGCCCTAATTTTGCTATGTGTATTTTCTACGTAATACTCATTGAAACTTGGCAAATGTTCTTGTAATACTTTCAAAAAAAGGTGACCCATATCCATCCAATAAAATAAGTCTGATAGAAATACAAGAGGTGCCTTGTTGTAGTTTTTTCTTTTCCAATGTAAAAAAAACGTCCAGACCTGAAAAACAGATTCCACATATTCATCAAACCGGCCTGACCGAAACAAGATAGCATACACATCAAGGGTAGTGGGAATTAAATTATCAAGTAAGTCAATAGTTGTTTGATATTCAATATCTTTGCAGGTTGAACCAAATTTTTTCATGATATCATCTCTAATTTTAAGCCAACCACATCGCGAAAGTTCCAGTTTAAGATTTATCCACCAAGGCCAGGGTTTCTTTGCAAACTTTTTTTTTTTGCCGAACACAAAATGAAACAGGTTCTTAAAAAAAGAATGGTGAACTAACACAACCTGCTCTCTACTGTTTAATGATAGGTAGAAGGGACCCATTATTGGAATAAATGACTCAAGCTTTTGCGAAAATTTATGCTGCAAACCCGGGACCATTCGCATGTGCAATGCTTTTCGAATAAATATTTGCCCAGGCTAGTCAACAACAACTGGTGCAACTGTTTCATTTAAATGCTCTGTTTTATCATTTAATAATAAAAGAACCTTTATAATATTAACATAATCTTGCACTGAGTGTAAACTTTGCTCTTTAAATCCTACTAGTTTAAGACCATTCATCGATCTCTTCTCCCTTCGTTTAGCTAAATTATCAGCATAACTATGTACCGTCAAAGCCTCAATTTGATCAAATTCTTCAAAAATTAAACACCCTCATAAAATTCGATAGTTAAAATATAATAAATCGAACATTCCCTTATATTTATGAAGTAAATACCAGCAAATTCTATAAGCTTCAACATTCGCTGGATTACGAATTAATACTTTATTAAAATTAAGCGGCATGGATAAACATTCCATAATTAGTTTTGCAACAAAAGTTGCAAAATGTTTCGCACTTAAGGTTGACACTGTATCGGGTCTTCGATTTTCGTGAATCGAATGATAATCGTCTACGTTATAGACATGAAACAAATTTTTCTAACAAAAATAAAAAAATAATATTCGATCATTAATATTCGAACATGTTTATTTAAATTACTTGATTTATTTAATATACATGATTTATAAAATGCTGTTTAATTTTTATTGCATATTCAATTTGAATTTTTTTGCAAAATTCCTCCACTGTTTTAGCACATGCAGAGTAACCGAGACTCGCCATTGTGTCAACAGCTTCCCACGTGGCACCTGATGCCATTAAGTACAATCCCACCTCTAACTTATGTCTATTAACAAACTTGTTATGCAAACCTGCGATCATATAACATAGACTAACGATTGACTTTTTGGCTTCATTAATGCTATAAGCCAAACGTTCTTTGAGGATAATCACATTCATCATACTGCTAAAAAAACCCTCAAGTTGAGGATTAGCATTCCCAATCATATACTCGAATTTTTCCAGATTAAGTTCTATTGCAGCATTTTCTCGACGTTGTTGGTGATATAATACTTTGGTTAATGCATCAACATTCGAAGCAAATGTGGAATCTAAATCAAGATTAATTAAAATTTAATAATAATAATAATAATAATAATAATAATAATAATAATAATAATAATAATAATAGTAAACAAAATAAAAACACCAAAGCATAAAACACATACTTATATCATTATTTGGTTGGGATTCTATCGATTCTAATATATTTTTTTTTTTGAATTTTTATTTTTTTCAGCATGTTTCTATCACTCTCTACAATTTTACAGTAATTGGGATGACAAAGTTGCTTTTCAACACTAAGATAGGGATATATTTCCAACATTTGCTTTTTGTTACATTTTTTAAATGCAACTTCTGTAATCACACGGTATTTAATATTAGTATATGTACAGTTAATAATTGCACAAGACCTGAAGTTTTGTTTGGATTTCATTTCGTTTTAATAAGCTGTATACTAAATTCAATAAAGAATTTGTGATAAGAACATCTGTTATTATTGTTGCAAAAAATTTGTTATAGGAACCTACCACAGCAAAATCTGATGGTGGCGAGACTTGACAGCAATGAATCCGGATAGTATCAAAATTTGATAGCGAAGAACTTGACAGCAGCGAACCAATAACGGCAAAATTTGGTGGCGAACACAATAGCAGCAAAATTTGGTAAACACAATAGCAGCAAAATTTGGTGGCAAAAAACTTGATGAAAGCGAACTTTGAAGAACTTCAATTAATTTTAATAGTAAAAAAAAAATTAGAATTATGTTGAAACTTCAATAACACATATTTTGAATCACAGCTTTAAATGCTAAAACCTTACCCTTACACTACAACTTTATCCACTTCAAGCTTCGAACTAACTTCAAACCTCAACTAGAATGACTTCAATTACAATGACCTCAACCACAACAACCTCAACCACAGCAAAACTTTTACACTAATATTTAACAATACGTGACTAAATTTTTTTTTTTTTTTTTTCCTCCTTTTTTTTTCCTTATATAATTTTGATTAGCCAATCACGATCCAATTAATTATGATCTGCATGTTGCAGATTTGTGACCAATAAAATAGAACTTCTGTCATGCTGGTCATTTTGTATTTTTTGGATTTTAGCTTCATTGTCATTTGTTTTTAGTTTTAACGCTAAAACGTCTTTGTTTCTTCGAATTACAAGTTTAACTACCTTAAATCTTTTATAAACTTCGACTCTAATGAAACTTTCTAAATACTGTTATTATTTTTGATTAATTTTAATAAAAGATGGGCAATATGAAGAACTTTTACTATCTCTTTTTTTTTAATGAATTAATTTGGTAGGTTTTGGAAAATCATGAGAATAAAAGTACTTTAAAGTATATAAAAAGTAAAAAAAAATTTTTTATTATCACTTTTTGCAAATTGATGTGACTTTTGATAAAATCTGTAGATCACTGCATGCTTGATTGTTCGATTGCAATTGATTGTAATCGATCGTATATGATTGTACATGATTGTAAGCGATTTCTCAGCAATTTTTTTTTATTTGAATTTTATGAATCTATAGAATTCAAATAAAAAAAAAATTCATCTAATTTGATTAGGTAGTTGCTGAGATACCTTTGCTTGAAGTTTTTTTTTAAAAATATCATTGCTTACAAGCTGTGGCAAAATTTTTTAAAACTTTGAGTGAAGATTCCTCAATAACCACCTGATCAAATTCGATGAGCTTTTTTTTATTTGAATTCTATAGATCAATAGAATTCAGATTATTAAAATTTTGTCAAATTTGATCAGGTGGTTGCTGAGGTATCTTCGCCCAAAGTTTTAAGAAATATCGTCTAAGCTTGCCAAAATTTTTCTAAAGCTTTGAGTGAAGATATCTCAGAGTCATCTGAACAAATTTAGTGAATTTTTTTTATTTGAATTCTATAAATTCATATAATTCAAATAAAAAAAATTTATAGAATTTGATTAGATAATTGCTAACAATCACGTATAATCATATACAATCGATTGCAATCGATTGTACATGATTGTATGTGATTGTATGTAATTGTGTGCAATTGTAAATGATTGTATAATTTTTTATAACAGATATAAAATAAAATTTAACTTGGTTTTAGTTTGTACGTATTTTTGCTATTAAAGATTATTTTTTGAAAATTTATACAAATTTAAAATTGCAAAAATAACATAGTGAAGATTTAAAATCACAAATAGTTTATCTTACTCACAATGGCTATAGTAAGCAAGAAATTGCAAAACTTTTATATATAAGCAAAACTTTAGTAAAAAACACACTTATAAATATATAACAAGTATTATTATATAAAAAATCCATTTAACGAAGCTTCAGGTCAGAAAAGATTGTTAATAATAATGATATAAAAGTAAATTTATTTATAATTATTATAAATAAAAATTATATAAAATATATTAAATATACATTTTATTTTAGATCTTAAAAACTTTAGTCAAAAAAAAAGTAGATCTATATCTTGATGAGTTGCAATATGAAATAGGTATAATAACTGGAAAATGGGTATCAATTTCAACAATATATCGTTATTTAAAATAATGCAATATTACTCAAAAAAAAGTATGTATATTATATATATATTAAAACTTTTTTTTTATTTAAAAATTTTTAACAATAAATTTAAAGTTGCATAAAGCTGCTACAGAAAGAAATAAACTTCTTTGCTCTGCATTTATAGCTCATATTGCAGATTATTATAAGCCTGAGCAGCTTATTTTTCTTGATAAGGTATCAAAAAATAAACACGCCTGTACTAGAACTCATGGATACTCTAATATTAATAATTGGACATATAAAAAAACAATTTTTATTCGAGAAAAAAGATATACAATTTTACCTCATTAACATTAACAAGTATAATTGCTTTTGATATTATTGAAGAAAGTTGTGATAAGCAATATTTTGAAAATTTTATAATTAAAAAGGTCATAAGTATTATTATATATATTATATTAGTATTACAAATATAAAAATACTAATATTACCTGGAAGAATTAGATAATGACAGTACTCTAACGTCTAACCTAAATGCCTCTAATTCCTGCGGAACTGTGAGAGCTGGGTATACAACAAATGCAATTGTAGAAGATATCTAAAAGGTTTTATTTACAATCTCTTCCACCCTCTATGAACCTTTCACCTGCTTTAATAAATTCCTTTTATCATAAAACCATCCACCCATTTCATCACCCAAACA